CATCAGGGATCCATAAGTCTCAGGTTTCTTCCAGCTCTCTTGCCTCATAAATCAGCTCTGTGTGTGTGTGTGTGTGTGTTTTATTCTGCTTTGGGGAGGATAGTTGTGGGGATGAGGAGAGTTGTTGTTGAAATGAAGAACACATCCCACCAAAGAAATCCATGTCCTAATATCTGGAACTTATGAATGTTACCCTACATTACAAAAGTAACTTGGCAGATGTGATTAAGTGAGGAATTTTGAGATCAGGAGAGTATCCTGGATGTTTTGGGTGAGGCCAGCATAGTCACAAGGGTCCTTATAATATGGAAGGAGGACGGTCACAGTCAGACAGGAGCTGGGACAATGGAGAGGAATGCTGGAGTGATGGAGGAAGGGGCCATGGAGCAAGGAAGGTGGGGCATCTTGAAGATGAAAATAAGGAAATCAGATTATACTCCCTGGATGCTCCAGAAGGAATAGACCCTACTGACTCCTTGATTTTAGCTCGGTGATAATTCTCACCTCCACTACTATAAGATAATAAATTTGTGTTGTTTGAAGCCAGTAAGACATTGGTAGTTTGTTACAGCAACAATACAAAATTAATGCAAGGGGAAGTCATGCCTTTCATCTCTCTGAGTGTGTGGTTGTCCTTTATTCTCACAAATATTTCTACTCTCCAATCATTTATTGTCAATTTTGACAAGAGACAGAGAACATTTTACCGTGAGGAGATAGCTCCAGAATTCTTCTTAGGAAGAAAATCTCTTGAGTAAATCCTTCAATTAGCTTTTGCACAATCTGGCTATCTGAGAGCTGAGGGATGACAGTCACAGCACGCGAGAAGGGGAGGGGGCTATAGGTTTGTTTGTTTTCACATTAGGAGGACAAATTAGATATACAGGACATAATCTGAGAAGAAGGATTGAATCAGAGAGATGAGGATGGCAGAGGAGATAAAGAAGTGGTCAGAGCCATGCAAGATGTGTCTCTGCCCCCAAAGCTGAAAGTCATTTAGTTTTTGAGAAACTGCAGAAGGGCCTGAGTTTTAAGTGTAGGGTCAGCGTGGTGAGGGGCAGAGGTAGCAGCAACAGGGGGCTTATGTGGGGAATTTCATACCATCCTTCCGGCTTTGTCTCTTCTCTGATTCTATAGGCCATGAGCTTCTCTATGGAATGAATGTGGCCTTGTAACAGGAGCATATTGAAGGTCAGAAGCCCTGGGTTTGAAACTCAGCCTCCGCAATTGCTGATCATGTGACTTTGGGCCACCAACTCACCCCAGCACTCTAATGAGCCATTCCTTCCTATGTGCACTGGGGCCGTGCAAATATCATGGCGCGTCATGATGGTTCACCAGATGATGCGCCATGAAATACACACACACACACACACACGCGCGCATATTAGAGTGATATATACATGTATATATCAGGGAACACCTAGTACCCCTTTTATGCATCCTTGAATAAGTCAGAATGAAGATGTCATGTAAGATATCCCTAGTCAGTGGTCATTTTCAATAAAAAATTATCAACACTTACTCTATAACTAACAGATACCTCTGTATACACTGTGAAATTTCATGTACATACATTCCACTGTAAAATCTCCCACTAATCCATTTATAGCTAGCATTAGAAAGTTGAACAAGGAGATTGCAAGCCATCATACTACCTTTAGTATGGATTTTCTTTCCTTTTTTTTTTTTTTTTTTTTTTTTTTTTTTTTTTTTTTTTTTTTTTTTTTTTAGTTTAGATGGAGTCTCGCTCTGTTGCCCAGGCTGGAGTGCAGTGACATGATCTCAGCTCACTGCAACCTCCTCCTGCCTCAGCTTACTGAGTAGCTAGGACTACAGCCACATGCCACCATGCCAAGCTAATTTTTTTGTACTTTTAGTAGAGACAAAGTTTCCACCATGTTGGCCAGACTGGTCTGAAACTCCTGACCTCAAATGATCTGCCTGCCTCGGCCTCCCAAAGTGCTGGGATTCCAGGCATGAGCCACCAGGCCTGGCCAAGTATGGATTTTCTAACACAGTCACATTTGTATCAGAGTCCTTCGACTGCTATAACAAGTTACCAAAACTGTGATGGCATAAAACAACAGAAGTGTAATCACTCATA